CCTCCATATTGTTACCTTTATCTTGATTTGCTTTACCATTTACAACATCTCCTACTCCAGTAACGACAACATCAACATTACCAATCTTTTGCAGCGATGTCTACATTTCCTCCAAGATTGTCCAAAGTCCCACCACCAGCTTGGACATTATCCACAACTGCTCCAACGTTATCTACAACACCACCAGCTTGGGCATTGTCGAGAACTCCTCCAACATTGTTCCCAACCCCGTCAGCTTGGACATTGTCCACAACTGCTCCAACATTATCTACAACACCACCAGCTTGGGCATTGTCTATAACTTCTCCAACGTTATCTTTAACACCACCAGCTTGGACATTGTCCACAACTGCTCCAACTTTATCGTTAACACCACCAGCTTGGGCATTGTCTATAACTTCTCCAACTTTGTTCCCAACCCCATCAGCTTGGACATTGTCCACAACTGCTCCAACATTATCTACAACACCACCAGCTTGAGCATTGTCTATAACCTCTCCAACTTTATCTTTAACACCACCAGCTTGGGCATTGTCCACAACTGCTCCAACTTTATCGTTAACACCACCAGCTTGGGCATTGTCCACAACTTCTCCAACGTTATCTACAACACCACCAGTTTGGGCATTGTCAGGAACTCTTCCAAGATTATCCACAGCAACTCCAATTTGAGCTACGTCAACAACCCCACCAACATTATCTACTACACCACCCGCTTGAATATTGTCAAAAACGCCAACGTTGTTTGCAGTTAAACCAGCTTGAGTATTGTCTGCAGCACCAACAATGGTGACTTTGTCCACATTACCAATATCTTGTGCATTGTTCATGGCCCCGACAACTTGGGCATTTTCCACGGCTACATTGTCAACTAATAAATCGTTGTTTAATTGTCTTCGAACACGACCTGAAAAAGATAATCGGTTGTTGGCTGATCTAAGAAACAATGAATGTCACCATTTCAGGGAGGGGCAAATATATACACATTCCGAAATTTGAGTTCTGCTTTTTAGTTTTTAGCATCAGGATGTTGACAGGACAAAAAGCACATTGAATGAATTATTCCAAACGATTAAATCGAATAAAATAAAAATAAGCAAATACTTACCTATAGTCAAGAGTTTTGCTGTATCAACAAAAGGTATATTTTCATTTTGTTTCGGTCCATGCTTATGATTCGTAGGCTTTATATATAAACAATTTACAACTACCATCAAAAGACTACAAACAACCACCACATTCATGATGATGCTTATTCACAATGTTGGTAGTGCACATTTGAACTTGCTTTAAATACAAAATTCGCACAGGTAAAAACTCCACACTTTCCTCCAATTCAATCCTTATTAATATTACGTCACACTGAGAAATATTTCTTTCGTGTCTTAATCCCGGGACCCCATATCGCAACTGATTGAACTGATTTTTTACCAGTTTACACAATTTAATTCAGAAATCAATTTTTTATGACATGAACGTGACTTTAGATACTTTTGAGGTGACATAATAAGCACTTTTTATCAATCACAAACGAAAAGGATAGTATACGATTTTTAATGTAAGACTTAAAATATTTTCTTTGCACGCCATAATATACATAAAGAAAGTTTTTCAGACAATGTGATATTCGCCCACTGAAGCAGTTAAGAAAAATGTTTATTAGGTTCAAGAAGCATAAGACTGTGACTTCCGTTCAGCAAACAATGTAATCATACCAGTATCGAGCAACACGTTTGCATTAAGACGATTAAAACTGTTAAGAAAGAAATAAAGCTTTAAGTGGTGCTTAATCATGTAAGTCATTGAAAAGAAGGAGCAAAACATAACTGTTGCTGATTTGCTTTCAGTATCTGTACGTCTGTTGTTTGTATGAATGTAGTGTTGACTATCGACAGGAAAGACATTGTCAATGATATGGGAATCCCACTATGGGATGGCGAAGTTCTCAGAATTTAGGTGTAAGTCTCATATGCTAAATTGAAGTGCATGAAGGATCAGTCTATTATTTTGAATGTGAAATTCAAGGATATATTCTTGTTTTTTTTTAAGAAATAAATAATCACCTTTCTTGTAGTTCAAACACATTCTTCCTACTTAATTATTTTATGTAGAGGAATATCCTTTATAGGAGATTTTTTAAAAAATAATTGATCGGAAACTGTGTACAGGAACACGTGCCGTTGTCTTTCCTCATTAAGTTTAATATATATATATACCGATAACTTGTATGATTGGGAGCGATTGGGATCGGCAAATACTTGCTAATATTGTGATAGTGACTATACGTAAGCTCTTGCATCAACTAACACGTTGGATAAATATACCATCTCAAAAGGTTTCGTGTAAAGAGAAGAGGAAAACCATTTAGTGCATTGTTGTAGAATTGGCAACAGCATTAGAGAAATTGGTCTAGGAGTGTAGAGAGTCGTAAATGTTTCTAATGTGTTTAGAAAGTTCTAAAATGGTTGCTGTGAAAAGTGACTATTAAAACAAGTGATCTGGCTCAAATGCACCAAGTCAATCATACCTATAGCTGCATTTGAGCCAGATCCCTTGCTAGAACTTTCTAAACACAAATGGACCAGTTTTACCAATGCTGAAGCCAATTCCGAACTTCGAGTAGATCAACTGTTCATGGATATCCAAGTCCGAGAGTCCACACGGTGTGAATGTGAAACACACAACCCAATAATGATAAAAAAAACACGATATATTAATTACCCTGTAACGTTTTTTATTAGTTTTATAAAATTGGTACAACCAGAACATTTGATTTTGCTTAACTTTTTTTTAATTATTTGTTACTAATTTTGTACACATTGAATATTTCAATATCCACGACCACCGCGACCATTACCTCTCCACCCTCTTCTCACTCCAAGGAAATCATTACGATCATATGCTCGGCCTCCTCTTCGTCCAAATCTATCGAATCTGTCGAATGTATCGAATCTATTGAATCTATCAAATCTATCCAATCTATTAAAATCTCTATCTCTACGATAAGAAGGACGTGCTCTGTAAGTGCTTCTCTTCCATCCTATAAATGATATCAAATAAAATTCATAACATCATTCAGAACCATATTCCATCATATCATTGTGGACTAAATCCACCTGAATCAAACCGCCGCTTTAAATACTCTTATTGTAGTCGAACCCCATCCGAGGGTCGATCCGTACAGTTCTTGTCGGAACGAAAGAGTATGCAGTTTTATTGGAAATTGTTGTGTATATTATCATTATTTCACAAAATATAGAATATAAAAATATTGTAATTTAGTTAATAAAGATATATATGTATATCAAATAGATTACACCATTGCAAAGTGAATGTGATCCAAAGCAGATCGATTAATATCGACCAATAACAGGTCTATAGACCTCCTGCATGGTATTCCAAGCTGGTCAAAGTGAAGCATTCTATTACCCATGAATGGGTTGCTTTTACAGAACAATATGACGGGAATTCAAAGTCGTATTAAATAATGAATAATATACATTAATAATAGATAATCTTACTTCTTGAGATTGGATTAAATCTTTGTCCTCGTGATACTGAAATGTCTACACGATGTGCTAATGCAGGGGTATCATAATTCAACCCAGTCAATCTTGGATCAATTAGCGATCCTGAAAGAAATAAACGATGATCACATAAAAAAAGGAATTAAAAGAAATATGGCTACATAGTACATACTTATAAAGTTTCCTCGCGTGCAGCCCCCTCTCCCCCCCCCCCCCCCCCTCCTTTGCTGCAATTTACTACCCTGCGTTCATTTGGCGGAACAATATGAGCCTGATCTTTTCTATTGAACAACCCTTGTCAAAATGGTATTTGTTTTCTAAACCATATTTTTCTAAACGTTAAAGGGGAATGGAATAGGCTACCAATCTCCTCTATATATTTCAATATAAAGTGTGCCCATTATAAATATTTAAAAATATAAATATGTATACAAGCTCAAACATACAGGGATTTTTAAGTAGGTAATTCAAAGAAAGTACCTGTTTAATAATGTTAAATTGAACACAGGCCTGATTCGTGAAAAGGTTAACTGCTCAAAATCAAAACACAAGAAAGAAAATCATAATCTACTTACCAGGACCTAAATGGTTTCTAGGGTCATGCAGTATCTGCCCATTTTGAAATGGACAGTTTGGGTCGGCTAATGGGTTAATATATTGTGCCGTGACTCCGATGATCAAACAAGCACCAATAGCAATCAGTGCGTTCATTATTTTAGATGAATTCTGAAATTAGAATTTAGAATTGAAACCATTAGTATTTGCATAACAGGTTCTTATCATCAGAACAGAATAAAAGTCAAATAATTGACCTATTTGTACCTATAGCCAATCAATTTTTCATTTTGCAAGTCGAACCTAAAAGCAAAATACCGCGTGCAGGTCGACCACAGGAGACTTATATACATGTACACATAATATATAATCCGCTTTCGAATAATGAATAATTAATTAATAACTTCATACATTTATAGGCCTGAAGAAGCAGGAATTTTTTGAAACTTTGCCAAAAATGCCTAAATTAAATTAAAACTGAAACCAATAGAGAAGTTTTGACATCTTTAACCATAATAAATTATTATCAAACGAATATTTTCAAAAATGAAGATTTCACACTTTACCTTCTTGCTGCTATTTCAAATAATTCTGTTCTGGTTAAGTTTCTTGGTTAAACTGAAGTTTATATACAAACTCATACAATGATTCACACGTCATAGACAGTCATCCATCAAAACAAATGTAGCCACATTTGTTATATTATGATAAAGTGATTATTTAGGCGTACGTCATAGAAGGCTGCACAGTCATAAACCATGACATTCTTACACGGGACAAATGGTTCATACAGGGTTTCTTTGTAAATTGATAGGCCAAAATAGCATTAAAAAAGGCATATAATATCATATCAATCAAAATCATTCATGGTTACTGGTTACTGCTTCCTTTTGTCTTTGTTAATTATAGATTACTACATATTATTTTTTACAACCTTTTTTATTTGATTATTTTTTAATGAGTATTCCTTTAAAATATGAGCTAATAATGCTTTTAGATGCCGATAAACAAAAATAACCTTCCTTCCGCATCTTCGCTGAAAAATGACTGAATTGAAGTAAATCTACGAGTGCTACAGTTGAAAAGTTCTAAGACTAACCGTTAAATACCAAGTCATTTAGATTTATTTCTCTACATAGTCCCTTTGCAGATTTTCACACTTTTTCCAGCGATGCTGAAGAGCCTGTGAAAAACAAATTTCTTCCGCCAACCTAAAAAAAGGTCAGTTCCTTTTTTCGCATCAGGTGAAGCGGGAAAAGGGGGAATGGACAATCATGGACTCCTTTAGACAGCATTCCCCGTATGCTTTGCTAACTGGTTAGCACGATATTAACAGAATACCCTTGGAATCATAAAAGACCTGGCATTTGTAGGGTGTGATTCGGATGCTTCCATTATTTTCCTATTAATTTCTGTAGTTTTTGGAGAAAGCAATATAATTTTTTTAAATTTTTGTATCAATAGTTTCATGTTTTATCATCTCGCAACAGATAATCTGCCACAGTTCATTTGTATAAGAACACTCGTATTTTGAAATGAATGATCACTTATTTATATCTACTAGTAAATCAATCACATTAAAACATATAACTATTTCATCATCTTCATTTACTGTCATTTTGAAATTGTATAAGGAAATGAGAGTGTTGGAGAATGACTGCAGCATTGTCGTTCCTGGTCTGGCCCTGCTGATACTCAAGGAGATACCAAACATGGGGGGGTTGGGGCGGGGGGGGCGGTGGGGGGGGGGGGGGGGTTCTTGTGGTGTCAATTCATTACTACTCATGAAAGTTTTAAAAGTTTGATCGACTCACCATTATAGCAATGCGGCTAATACAGAATATGTGAAGGCTAACAGAAACGTAAAGGATGCCTCGATGATGATTCCTATAAAAAATATTTTAAAACGTTATGTTCCACTTTGAAACAAATACATGTATACGAATGGATATTTAAAGTCAGAAAATTAAAGGCAACTCGGCAACACAGTGCGCATCGCGTATAATTACAAAAATGTTATAAGAATGTATTTATATGGTGCATCAACGCCCAAGGTGTTGGACAACGAAACTGTCTGGATTTCATAAAATGAAAGAACATTGTTTCTATATATTTCGAAATTTTCATTACCTCTTCCGGTCGTTGTTTCAGTGACTGACATTGTTGGTTCTTGATTACTTTGTGTTGTTTCAGTATCTTGTGTTGTTTCAGTAGGCCTATCTGGAGTTGTTTCAGTATCTGGTGTTATTTCAGTATCTGTTGTTTCAGTATCTGCTATTATTTCAGTACCTGTTGTCGTTTCGGTATCTAGTGTTGTTTCAGTACCAGGTGTTGTTTCAGTATCTAGTGTTGTTTCAGTACCAGGTGTTTTTTCAGTATCTAGTGTTGTTTCAGTACCAGGTGTTGTTTCAGTATCTAGTGTTGTTTCAGTACCAGGTGTTTTTTCAGTATCTAGAGTTGTTTCAGTATCGGATGTTGTTTCAGTGTTTGTTGTTGTTTCTGTATCTAGTGGTGTTTCAGTGTTTGTTGGTGTTTCAGTGTTTGTTGGTGTTACAGTATATGGAGTTGTTTCAGTATCCGATGTTGTTTCAGGATCTTGGGTTGTTTCATCAGTATCCGGTGTTGTTTCAGTATCCGGTGTTGTTTCAGTATCCGATGCTGTTTCAGTGTCTGTTGTTGTTTCAGTATCCGATGTTGTTTCGGGATCTGGGGTTGTTTCAGTTCCAGGTGTTGTTTCAGTATCTAGTGTTGTTTCAGTTCCAGGTGTTGTTTCAGTATTTAGTATCGTTTCAGTATCCGATGTTGTTTCAGCGTTTGTTGGTGTTTCAGTATATGGGGTTGTTTCAGTATCCGATGTTGTTTCAGAATCATGGGTTGTTTCAGTTCCGGGTGTTGTTTCAATACTTGGTGTTGTACCAGTACTCCATGATGTACTAGTACTTTGTGTTATTTCGGAACCTGGCGTGGTTTCAGTACTTCGTGTTGTTTCAGTACCTTGAATAAGAACACATGTGTGCATTGAGAAATGAAAGGTGTATTTCACCTTCTCTTCTGATCAGATCATAAATTACTAGGTAAGAAATGTCTTCCAGGACGACCGTATAACCCAACATATATTTTTTTATTTAACAGCGTCGGGGTTTTCAACTTGTACAGACCGTTGTGCAAAGCCCCTCTGAATTTGATAAATTTGAAGAAACTCGTGTCACAGCCTAGTCGAATGGCAATAAATAATTTCAACGAATTCCGTCCATATCCGTTGAGAATTGTACCTCCAAGAGCGTTTAAAAACTGAACATCTGAAGAGGCATATAGATTATACAATACATACCACTTTTAACGCCACTTATAGCCAAGATAAGGAAAAACATAAATATTGTCATATACATGTACTCCATGCTGAAATCTTTATGTGATCAGAAACATGAAAATATCGCCCCAAACTTTCGAGCTCATTTGAAAATTTAACCAGCAACAAAAATTGGAAAATCAATAAAATGCAATATATAGTCCGCGAAACTGTTCATCAAGTAAACTGACAAATATGAAGACTTGAGCGTGTATGGGTACTATGAAGTGATGACTGCAACACAATCAGTGCGATTCACACGAATATACACATCAACTTATTTTACTTACACGTGTTTCGGATATTTGGGAATGTTTTCAAATTCCCCTTATTAAACCATAAAGTTAGCGATTTAGATTCATCTAAAGATAAGAATTCTTCAGTAATATTTCTCTGAACTAGTAATCGTTGAATTCTGTATTCTTGCACTAATGAGATGCAGACGTAAAACACAAATATTGTAATTGCTCACTACTACACGTAGTGATAAGCATTATTTTGTTTTAATCAAAGTTACCAACGAGTAGAGTTTCGGACATTAAATAAAATAAACGAGTGCGATTTTGTTACACATATTTGCTAACTAATAATCAAAAATAATAAAATGATTATTGGTTTTAAAACTATGTCCGCCATTGTTAAAAAAAACACTCCAAATTGATATTTACACCTTTTGAATGTATCATGTAAATACAATACGTTACTGTGACCAGATTGTTATCTTCTATAATTACCCGTTATGTCTTGTGTGTCATGATACTGCCCTAAAATATAGATATGGGTGGATTATAAGGCGAATTTGTTTACATCTCTAAGGTGTTATTTATTCAATCTTTCATAACAAGATCCCGGGGAACATTCCACGTATGAATTAGATTTCGACGGAGAAGGGGCACGATTCGTTCAGACCCGTGATCTAGCCAATCTGCCAATTTTCGGCTGACTGCAGCTAAGCCAGTAGCGTGACTGTGGTTGGCTTGGCATAAGTCGCTAGCCGCAGCTTTGAGCAAAGAATAACTTTCGCACTAAGTGCCAATAATATCAGATGCAGAATGATGATTCTCTCCGACTAAGACTGACCGGTTCCATAACCAAAAATCGTAACCTTCTAATACAAATTGCTAAATTGGTTGCAAAGCAATTTATTAACTAAAAAGACCAATGCTGGATTCCAACATTTTAATCCAGATCAAATAAACCAAAACTACAAGACAAGTGAAAAGTCTCGGTTTAACGAAAAGTAACACTTTGCGAGCGCCGGTGGAAGTAACACTCCGGCGGCTGGCTGGCTTAAAATGCAGACCGGCGGTGGCTTGTGTCAGCATTACCTGGCGGCTTGACGGCAGTTTTTCGGCGGCCCACAGGTCTAGATTCGCTTAAATATATAGGACTCGGACGGAACAAATATTTCATTGAGAAATTAGAATAAGTGGTTTTGGTCAGTTGGGTAGCTTTCTTTTTCTTTCAATCTCCGTCATTTTCATTTAGTCTGGAAATGATTGACTGTAGATTGTCATCAACAAGGTTGTCATTTAAGTTTTGGTTTTTAGATTATTATGCTACTATCATATTGTTTCTGGAAATTTCTCTTGTAGACTCTCATAATGAGCAAGGGCTATCTTACTTGCTCGATGAGTGGTGGTATTGAAAGGGACAACAAATTGCGCTATGCCTTCATAAAGTTGAATATATAAAGCTATTAGCCTTGCTGTACTAAGTGTCAAGAATCCAGGAATCCAAACCAATAAAATTATGTCCTTTGGAATTTAATTTCAATATTTCATCTTTAAAATGTAAAATTGGCAACTTCATTAACAAGTTAATTAAAAACTTTTCAGTCATATAATGAGTTTAAGTATATTAATAGTCCAGGTTAGCACTTGTCATGTTAACCCTTTCAATCCCGGTGGTTACCTTCAACTTCTACTCAGTTTATCCACTTCAGTTAGTTTGAATTATTTGACACACGAGTATAGTCTTATTTTTGCCCTTCCGCCCTTATTTTATTTATTTGTCTTTATTTATTATTGTTTGTAATAAGCGGATTAGATTAAATTCTTGTTGTAATGTTTGTTTATTTTGTTCTTTATTATTAATTTAATAGTTTGTATTTTGTAAATTTAATTCCTTTTTTGAAAATACAAATAAAGTACCCATTTACTTTATTTTTGTTTGTTATTAGAGTTGGGAATTTGCATATAGTCACTGTGACAACCATTTTTGCATGTAAAAATACTGACAAAGCCATCAAGAAACTGATAGACATAAGGATAGCTTTCCAGGCAAGGTTAAGGACGTTATGTGTGTAAGATGCAAAGATGGAAATACCACAAAACCTAAAGTTGATTAAGAAACTGAACTTGGCGAATGGATGAAGACTGAGATAAAATAAATTTGGATTAGAATATGATATTACATTTAATAGTAAATACAATAGAAGTACACACATAGAAAAGATATGAATAAAACATATTATAATACAACGGCAATGCAAAGTTTATCTTTACCTACCAATACTAAAAAAACATTACCATGACATTTTAACTATTTAAATACTAATTCGTCTGTTCAACCTGTGAATCACAATAACGTATAAACAATTTGGAATGCAGTCACAGGGCATCACGAAATACACACAGAACCAATTTATATTTAACATAATTGTCAGAAATTTGACCAAAATAGTTATCTCGTCGAACGATTAGTTACTTCAATTACTTTGGTCTACAGCTGGAAACTTTTGTCTGTTCTAGCTGTTAGATCTTCAGAATATGAAATGAATGCAAATATCACACGAACACATAATATAACAATGTACTAGGCAAGACAAAAATTAAGTTTTTTTTTTTAAAAAAAATATATGTTTATATGGAATTATATAGAGCACTATCACAAGCAATTGAAATGTTAAATATTACCATAACCAATATCTTGCAGGTTAGCAACTGTGTGCGTTACAGTGAGACATAGCGTTTTTCTGAAAAGTGTCTTATAATCTGCTGACAGCAAATCTGATCTCTGATCAAATTCTTATCGTAAATGTAAAAAATTTTACAAATCTGTACATAGAACCCCGCATCGTTGTTTGTAAATTTTAAAATAACCATTCAAAAACTACCGATAAACAAAAAATATACTTTATATTGGTTTAAACTATATTAGAATATCATTAAACATTTCAATGTTATACAAATCAATATGATTTCACATGTTCAATTAAGCATCAACCATTACAAGATTCATCTTATTCTCTATTGGCTTGACTTTGGTGTTAATTTGTGTTGCTAGAGGTGGCATAACTTTCTTAGTGGACCAGACTGGAAGCTCCTTCACTGCTATGACTCTTTTCTTTTTCTTAGATTTCTTCAGGTTCTTGACGTTCTGTTATGGAAATCAGAAATCGTATGATAGATGGAAAATAGAAGTAATCTACATTATTTTATATATTATAAAATATATTGATATTTGTGATGATTGTTGGTCGGTAGTCAGTAATTTACCACATGAATAGGTGATTATATGACTTTTAAAGCCAGATCATAATCAGCAAATGAAAATGCTTGTAAACTAATTGAAACTTTGTAAACTTTATATTCACATTTCTTACTTAAAGGCCATGATTCTGCTTGATTTGAATCATATGTAAATAGTTTTCAGAACTACTTGAACTGTACGAAAATCCCATAATTATTATTACGGTGGCCGATATACGACCAAATTGTCATTTTGATTATTTAATTATAAACTTGTATTATAATTATATTATTATAAATTTCTACATAATTCTTTCAAATATACTTCAAACTAGAAAATTCGCTTTCATTTTCCTTATTTCTTTTATATATATGTCGTAGTAGTAAGAAACGACTAGTGGTACGGATGGCCAACGTTTCCCTTTGATACCAACAGAGATACTTACGTTTTTAGTGTATTTGCAAAAAAAAAGTCCTGAAACCACAGCAATTATGGAAACAGCGAGAATAATACCAATTGTAACCAGCATAATAGTCATAAGGTCTGATGTGTTTCCTAGTAAAGTTACTAAAATGATAATTAAAATCATCTTTTAAACTTTATTTAATTTATTATCATGCATTCAATAAAGAAAGTAATGAATATGATGTCTGTTACTCTTACTGTAAAGTAGGGTTGCTACGAAAAGCCAACGACGCTCCTCTAACCGGAATTACCCACCATTTTGTTTCACTTCCGATCAGGTTATCTATCAAAGCAAAGTTACCTGCAATAATTCATTTACATTATTTGTATGACTCATTATTCAGTAAAATAAAAAGCACTTACAATCAAGCGGGGCTCTAGTAGTTGTTGTTGTTGTGACTGTCGTTGTAGCTTCAAAAACAATCATAAAAGAAAGGTCAACATTTAAACATTATGCCAATCTAAACAAAGCAAATAACCTGTCCCATAGCAATTGCTGTATCGTTTAAAGAATTTACCAAAATGCGCATGAATCAATTGCTGAGGTCGTTTCAATAAATTTCATGTAGCAATCATTTAATTTTAATGCACGTATTACTGGCACAAGTAATCTTCTTTATTTTGCCACTAAAATTTAAATGCCAAACACGGGTTAATACTTTATCTGGCAACTTTGCTCGTATGGAATGAAATAGTAGTAGATTACACATTAACGTTCTACCTTACCGGCAACTGCAAGAAAATCTAACGAGAATCCCTTTCTTGTAGCATATCCATCTGAAGTTAAAATAATTCCGACTCGGTTTTGTTTTGTGTAGATTGAAGATGGTACTATAGTACCACAAAAAGTACCATAGATATCATCATTATCATGTACAGTAACGCTGTCAAAATTACAATTTGCTTCCATCTCCACCTGATATGAATAAAATAGATATACAGTCCGATCGAAAACGAATTATTCATATTAAAGTTTACATGACACCCCTGTAACTGAAATAGTGTATTCATGCAAGTGGATCGATTGATAATGCTAGATCAAAGTGAAGAGAGTTGATCGAATTGGTCCTATATGACCTAGATAGGAATACGAAGAAAGAAGTTTAACAAGTGTATTAGTCCAAATTATGCAATTTATCGTGTAATGGTCTCTAGAGCGAAGCTATGAAATTAATTTTATCCGATAATCAGGTACCTGTGTATCACGAATTCGTGAGTACATTCTTTTAAAGAGCGTAGTATAGCAGAAAACAAGCATACCAAACCTTACCTCAAAGTCAGTAAAAGTTAACTTTATTATCATTCCATCTGGAACAGTGATCCCATAAGAACATTTTGAATTCAGTGGATAGTTTTCAGGATAATTCTGCGATGTAATTGTGCCTGAAAGTCCTTCAAAAACTTCATAGGCAGGACATACATCTGAATCTGAAATAATTCAGTCAGATAAACGATTATTATTTATTTCCATTGTCCAAAATTCCATACTTACCAAAATATGAACCGACCAGAAACAACTAGAAACGACTCTGAATCTATATACTTCATTTTAAAAAAATGTGCATTTGGGAAAAGTTGACTTATTATTAGGAGACGTTTTTAATTTTTCATGATTTTGAGAGTCTTTTAGTGCACTTCGCCCAAATGTATATAATTTTTTTTAAATGAATTATTTATTTGGCTAAATTAGCTTGCTTAGAATTTATCACAAAATAGTTTGAGGTCGTTTCCTGTGGTTCTCCTGCTCGTTTCATGTTGTTGGTCGTTTCCTGGTCGTTCCATGTTTTAGTAAGTACGCCAAAATCGCACGAATCAGTTCCATACCATGTGAAAATGGTTGATTTTTTTAAATACGTGTATTACACAAAGTCTTTGTCAACAACTATTAATATTGATAAGGATTCTGGACACCATATTTCGCTTTGAAATTTAACTTCATTTAAATTTTGTCAACTGCCTCTGCGTCAATTCAACCCACGTTACTACTGAAAGAAAAGCTATTTTGAAGAGAAACCTAGAATGAGAAGAACTATTATAAATATCCAAGAGAAAGAGATACCCTTATAAAAAGTTGATATTTACGTACCCTGCATCAGGTTAAGCTCACCTGAAACAAAAAGTTCAACAATATGTAAAAAATCTTAAATATCCTTCTAATTTCCTTTGATTGCTACCCAAAGACACAGATGTATCTTTGCAATAGCATTTCCCACCATATTTCCATTTTTCTGTAATTGAATACATAATTTAACATAAAATATACGCGAGTTCTAAGATGATTTTGTTTAAAAACGTAAAAATGCCAAAATACACCATGTACCAGTACCGTGTGTTGTTGTCTCAGAAACGGGATTATATTTTTAGCTAAGTAATACTGCTCACAGTTCACAGCTCACCGTCGAAATTTGAGCCTTCAAATCCACTTGTGTCCAGAATTATCCCCGTTTGAAAGTTAAAAGACGAGTCGTCTTTTCTTGAAACACTGCTATATATAGAAAAGACATCTATAGAAACAGAAACAGGAAATTCCTAGTTTGAGATATTTTTGAAGGAATTATACAATTCTGAAGACTATTTACACTGTTTACTGTGAAGAAACATATTTCCAAGATTCATTGGGTATTCAAAGGTATAGAAAATGTATGCTTGTTCGTGGTAAGGTTCCTACGTAAGGTAAAGACACTTCAAGATGGAGTCTGCTATATCACGTAACACTGGACAGAATAAGATTGTAGGAATCACAAATGTGATTTAGAGTGGTCACGAATTTTAATAGCCCTTTTAATGACTAGATTAAGGTGAATAAGTATATGTAGATTATAAAACTTACCCTGATCAGTGTCGCCGCTTGTATGATTATTTACACCCACTGTTAAAATAAAATAAATAAGAGATATACTTTTAATAATAGTTTAATCTTGCTACATGTATATATAAATTTCACTACTTGACACGAACAACGAACACAGAACATATTGATGGAAAATCTTACTTTTCTTTTCAGTACAAGCTAAATAATCTACGTGTTTACCTTCGGTGACCGCTGTGAATTCAGCTGAAAACCCTGGAAATGACCCCGAAATATCTGCTATGAATGTAGCTGAAAGCTTATTTGTTGAACTATAAAAAGGCTCCAGGTACGACTGACCACAGAATGTGCCCAGTGATTGGTTCCCATCATTTATTTTTAAACTATCATACAAACAGGTCGCGTGTGGTTCTATCTGAAATATAAAAAATATTTTTTTTTATACTGAGAAGCGTTCATCTGTCTGACAGGTAATAATATCTTTGTACCAGGTGTATAGAAGGATTCATGTTTATATGTTCAGTTTTTAAAAACGAATTAGGCCTATTAAAGAATAGCAAGCTGTAAACATGCTTTTGTTTGAAGAATGTATAAATGTCTCATGACTAGTCGGTTGCAATATGACAAATATTCATAATCCATTTAAGATACTTACGAACATGTCATTAATCTGTAATTTAACTTTGTACTCTTCTGGAACAACTATTGAATACTGACAAATGATGTTGGATGGGTAAAAATCAGGCCAATTCGGTGATGTAAATGTTCCATTTTCACCAGTTAAATACTTATCACAAGTTCCTGTAAAAATACATGTATTCCAAGGTCATTGTTCGCAAGATTAAATGTAGATTTTAAAAGAAACTTTAATCTAATTAGATACTAAAACAATATTGAAGACAAATGTCCAATAAGATGAATAAAACGGTCGCTATAAATGCTTTGTAACGAATTATATATATACGAACCGTTCGTACTTTACTCAAAGTCGAGCTTAAGTCAGACTTTAGGTATGCTGCGCTCCATCTTTGGTGTAAGTCATGCTTTACTCGAGCGTTTTGTGGACAAAACTAAAGTAAAGTCTAAGATAGGGTGGTAGCAGACTTTAGCCGTACTTTATATACGTTTGCTTTTGAAATTGTGACAATGGAAGATTATTTCAACCAATTACACCAAATTAGAGAAATTTAACACGTGGAGAGGAGATTTAAAGACCGCTCAAATCCAATGGAAGATCTAGACGAGAGTGAATTTACGAAACGCTTTAGATTTCCGAAGGATTGCGTTCTACAATTTTTGAAATCATCGATGTGACCAAACTGTACATATCCCACCATTACTACAGTTATGGGTATGTCTTCGTTTGTATGCTAGTGACTCTTTCCAAATAAACGTGGGGGACATAATGGGCGGTCATCAATCCAGTGTCTCCCGAATAGTGAAATTGGTATCAAGGGCTATATATAGCTATTCATAGGTCTGAGGTAATTACGTTTCCAGATGAAAATGAAGTAAAAACAATACATCGAGGTTTTTATGACATTGCGCAGTTTTCGGGGATAATTGGAACAGTTGACTATACACATGGAACCAGTGATGATTTCTGTGTTGGAACTGTATTTGTATCTGGACATAATGTTCCGCTGGTAACAGTGGCTGATGCTGATTTGGATCGCGTAAATACGGGAGAACCTGTGTTGAATGAAATGAAAATTAAATTAGCTACGTAAAATATAATCATATGTTTTTGAAAAATTCAGTACCATTGCAAAAGTGGTTGCTTAAAGTAAGGTGCTACGTAACAGTTCGAATCGTGCATATGCAACTTATTTCGAAAACGTGGAATCAGTCTCGTAATTTATCTTCTTTCGACTGCACTTGTCAAACTCGAATTGACATATTAATATCTACTTTTTATTGAAATTGGATTTGCGGATTTGAGAAGTTCAAATTATGTATAATCAGAGGACTGTATCCCTTTAACTAACCTGACGTCGGTTGAGCCAAAGTGAAGATATCTTGATGGAAATCCATATCGTTATCAAAATCATTCTGCAGAGGGTGCATTTGTGCCGGTATCATAGCACATATCTTCAGATTTGAATTACTAGAATCCATTGTCTCCACTATACCACCACCAGTTTTCTTTCTCTTTTTTTCCATCGCTACATATTTTTTTGCCTTCATTTTTGAATTATACCAGCATTTCTTTAAATGCTTGTGATCTCGTTTAAAGCAAGTGGGCATGGAACAAAAATTATATTTCTCTCCACGCCTTTTCCTTCCTTTGTATGGACCGAATATCATTTTGTTTCGACTCCAAAACACCCTTAAACTCATCCACTACATCGATAAGGAATTCCTTTTTTAATTACAGTAAGTTGGGGTGTCTTCTTCTTGGTATTCCGAGGCGACGACATATTATCTGACATCTTGAATAATTAATCAAATTATGATTTGTAATGTCCCTGATGCGTATTTATAGTAAAGATCCCGCGGAAAAGCACATGAGAAACATGCCAAATTCTTGCTGTCCGTAAGTGTCCGATCAAAATTTTAGTTAAAAATCAATCACATTTTCTATTAACAAATATATTCGAAATTAAATTATAATTCTTTGAGTTATCGTTGGTTTTCCGTACATACACAGAGGTATAGCAAAGATAAGTTTAAGTTGAAGCCATGCATACCGAAATGAATTAGTTACAAAGTCGAACTTTACCCGAAGTCTGACTTGGCGTTAAGTTCGAGCGCAGCAAACGTGTTATACTACACTATGTTTGCATAACAAATATTAAGGATATTTTTCCGGCATCCGACCGATCAAACCTTTCATTTCAATCAGAAATATGTTTAAAGGGACAGTATACAAAATTAGTATTATTAAAAACGATGTAATATATAGGTGAAATAATTTGAATATACTATTTACTTCTATGTATCTACATGTACTAATTGTTAAGTAAGCATCATAATTTGTGGTGTTGGGGCTTATATTGGATCGATAATTTAGTTAAAACCTCCTTGGAGACTTCTCTGAAATTTTGGCGTTTATTTTTCCTACATTAGTTTTCCAACACCAATCAAAAACATAGCGTCTGTAAAAGGTTTACGTGAATCTTTATATAGATAGTTTTGGCGTTCTTGAAATTAACTTGGCTAAAATGTAGTGACTAACATTTTCAGAAAATATAAGGGACACATATCTCTGGATTTTTGTCTATAGATAATTTGAGCACCTAAATTTTCCGACCTCCTAAAAAATCAGACTGCCCCAATATTGTTATGTTTATTAATTGTAATAATGCTTTTGACCTACTTTCCTCTGAAGAAAAAACAGCTACAAAGCCATAATCATCTTGAACATCATCTGAGTTAAATACAACCGTCATAAAGTTGGCAGAACTGTGATAGACCTGTCCTGTTGTATAACCACATAAAGTATCCAGTACATTTGATGTGTTTGTATCATATATCTTAACACTATCATATCCACATCCTGAAGATGTCTCAACCTATAACAAATCACGTTTTTCCATAAAACAACCCTTCAAAACCTTTTCATGAATGTGGACACTTTCATTCCATAATAGACATCTTAAGTATTACAGTTTTAACCGATTGAAAATATTTTAAACAATTCACCAATTTTCAATTTGTAAACACTAATTTATTCAAATATAAAAAAAGACTTGTATTTAATTCTTAGCTTTATTACTGTGAAGCGCTCAGCTTTCAAACAGTTAAAAAACATGTTTGTATCCATTTTCACCAGTTAATGGTATTGTAAAGTGGTCAGGTTTTCTAAAAAAAGAAATATGTGCATCGGGGTCAATGATGGCATTAATTTGTATAATTCCAGAAGGCCTTCGCGATTAGAGACGTCATCAAACACTTAGTTTTAGTGGAATTGCAGGAACACATAAAATTACAATCCTGTTAAATACGTATCACTTAAACTTACTTAATTGCTTACATTAGTGAATATAAACAAAAAATAAATTGGAGATCTTACCGACATATTAACAAATTCTATCCTAACACGGTTACCCTCAGAAACGATGATATCATATGTACATTCAATATTCAAAGGGTAACGCATTGGCCATCCTGGTGAAGAAATCGTTCCATTGTCCCCTATCAACACCTGGTCACAACCTGAAATATTATTTTCACAAAGGTGAGGGAAAGTTTACAACAAATATGAAAATAATATATCTCTCGAAGCAAAGAATAACAACCCGTTGTTTTGTCATACAACCCTCGATCAAGGGTATATATGTCTCTGGCATCAATTTTCAACCTATTCCTTCTTCTGAAGACTGAATGACACTCTGCCAGTGGGTTTGTCAACTTAAAATCTCACCAAAAAGGTAAATATAGTTTCTTTAGTATATTTATTATCGATAAGAAAATTAAAGTAAAGATTCTCAATATAAAGCTTAGGCCTACCTTTAACTGATGTCAAAGCAGTCACAAAGATTGAAAATATCAAAAGCATCGCGACAAATACACGCATCAAACAAGGTGAATGTTCCGTGATTTAGGTATAATTTCAGAACTGAAGTTATTGTGTGAGTCGTCATGGAATATGTGGTTATCGATACCAAGATTAACCTCTGATATATGATATTCTATAATCTATCTTGAATCAAAACTATATATTATAATCAATCAATGATTACAAGGGACTATCCTTAACTAGATACAAACATTTTCATCAAAATTGAAGTTATTCTGTCAAAAAATTGTAGCCTGTAGAAGCAGTGGCGGAGCCAGGTTTACGTCCGGTGGGGGTGGATATTTGAGATTGCCCGAAATTTTAACGTAGTTCTGAAATTTTTTCCCGAAAAATTTGTTTTCGGTCAAGATATGTGCATTAAAACCAACTGGTAAAAAAAAAATTTCAAGTACGTACCATCTTGTCATGGTTTTATATAACAATAAATTATAATATATAATAGATAGCAATAGTTTACAATCAGCCTTATTCACGTGAACGATATTTAAGGTGTTATCTTTAATTTGGAGAATTGGACACATTTGTACCGACATACAATGTATTTCATTGCTTTGATCTGATAATTATAACAATCGACAAAACATGTTGAAATCAATACAAAAATTTCACATATACTTTTAAATTGTAGCTTAATCAATAGTCAAGCAAAAAACTTGGTCGTTAAAATCCATTACAATTAATTCTTATAGATCAACTAACAGAGGATGCACCTTTTAGCAATTACTTTGCTTGTGTACAGTATCTTCTTTAGTGATGGTACGTATTTGAAAACTTTTTTCTGTTGGTTTTAATGCAAATATCTTGTTCTATCTTTGAATAATTTAATGTTAATTTTTAGTTCATTTGTATCTGAACACTGTTTATAACATTTTTTGACAAATAACATTTTTGAAAAAGAGTTTTACGGGTATGTATTGTATAGTACGGAGCCCCTAAGGCGCGATTTTCGATACTTTTTAAAATCATTTCGTTTTAACGAAATAATTAAATAGTTTAAATAGTATCAAATATTGATTTTAACGAAATAGTATTTCGTTATAAGTATTTTGTTATATCGAATACATGGTTTCGTTATAACGAAATATTACTTCGATTAAACGAATTATTACTTCGTTAAAACGAATTAATCATATCGTTCAAACTAAATAATTTGTATAATATATTATGTAGATGTGTATGCATAATGGCTGAATGCAGACAGCATAGATAACAGCTTACTAAAATACAAATTTACTCATATTTCAGAACTCAAAATGCTAGACTTGGACATTAATACATTAATTGGGTTGTACAGAGGTTTTCTGAAAATGATAATATATGTGTATCGGGGACACTTTCCGGCAATTCCACTAAAACTAAGTGTTTTGTGACGTCACTAATCGCGATGTGATCAAGTATATTTTGTGATTAGTGACCTCATCAATCACTTAGTTTTAGTGGAATTGCAGGAACCACAGACGTCAGATTGAAAATTTGAATAGTGCATATTGATGCTATCAGTGTCCTCGATAAACATTAGAAATTTAGAAAACCTCTTTACAATCCCTTTAATCCAGCGCTTGTATGATAATATACGATATAAGAAATAATATGTGATATATGACAGTAAGGTAATGCCTTTATATTTCAGGATATTACAACTACCCCGATTACTATGGCGGATATGGCGGTGAACAAAGTAAGCACGACCTTTTGTTTCACTCCTACTACTTATCTCTAGCCCAATAATATTATTACTGACACAAATACCACACCGATCCACCAAAATAACTAGGCCTTTTAAATGAAAAACACTGTTTTTTAATTGGATGTCAATGAAAGCAGTGTACATGTATATATGTACATGTATATCTATATGTAAATGCTTGTATCCAATTTCCTTTCTAATAGAAGATGGTTCGATTGAATCAATTTCAATTATCCTCATGATAGATATTGTAAGTGTTATATTGTAACAAAAATATGGCAATGATGTTTATAGATTAATTGTTAATTATTGATATAGATTAACAGACTGACTACAATTTGGACAAAGTTCTCAAGCACAGACATCTGTTTCTATAAAATAATATAATTATCTATATATATATATACTATATAGATATAATATACTATATAGATATAATATACTATTGATAGAAACAGATGCCTGTGTTCTCAAGGCCCAGTTTCCTACATCCTACATTAAAGATCTCTCATGTTCTGTGAAAAGAAGCAGACTAATTGTGATATTGTGCAAGAAATATTCTCCTCATTGCACATCCTCATTGCACATTGCAATATCTGTTCTGTCTGGTAGCCTAAACTGGAGCAGAAAAGTAGGACGTAAAACTCCATTTTATTTTGCTTTATTTTATTTGTAGGTACAACTGATACAATATTGACTACGTCTGTAACACCAGGTAAATATACAGATTGTTCTATTATCATTTACACCGACCGTTTCTTCCACATTACAAACTTTTCACGTTTACGATTTCTATATCGTTTTCTAGAAGTTCACATATGTAAAGAAAATTATGCAAAATGTTTTTTAATGCCCTAAAACGATACTAAATTCTATTTTCTTATGTTCTTATTATTTTAGATTGTGGTGGAGTAATAAACACTGAAAGTGGTACAATTCAATCACCAAATTTTCCAAATCTTTATCCACAGAACGCTGTTTGTGACTGGACTGTGGAAGCTCCTGAGGATAAAATTATTATCTTAACATTTAATTATTTTGACGTAAGTTTTCATCCAATACATTATATATTATTTTCCAGTGTCCACGTTTTCTAGTGTACAATGTCAACAAACTCGATTGATGTTGTTCTTTCTGGTGTCTCTGGATGGAGATAGATCCATATGGAATAAACCTACGTCTTAGTAGAACATACCGCGGTTCTTAAACATAATGTTTGTTAATGGTATGACTTGACTGACAGCTTGAACATATGGCGGCATTGATCACGTTACCGTTTCATCCAATGGAATAGAAGCTCGTGCAAGTCATGAGTTTTGTTTTGTGTTTTGAAAAAGGGGGTGGAGCTTCAGTCGTGCAATCACATCAAAATGCACTTGTTGTAGCACACCAGGCTCCATCTACTTTCCTCTTTATCTTTCATGTTAAGTTATCCAAGTATGGTACAACAACAAATTGCTCGTATAATACACCATTGTTTTTCCCATTTTAGGCAATTATTTTTGCCTGAAAACAGCAAAGGAAGAATGCAGTTTAATATGTTACTATTTACTTATGTTTAATGTTTTGATACAGCATCGTCTAACAACTGGTTAATATTTTGATTGCAGCTTGAGGATTATAATTGCGAGTTTGATTTTGTTGTTATTTATGATGGTGACAAAGAAATAGCTGTATATTGTGGTTCACCTATTCCTGATCCAGTTACAAGTACCACGAATAAACTTCGAATAACGTTTATATCTGATGACCAATATGAATATGAAGGCTTTAATGCAACTTATAGCATGAAAGGTAAACAAGACCTCATTAAGTTATGATGCATTGTATATCTTGATTATCAAAAATGAAAATACAGCCGGATTATTAAAACATGAACTAGTTATTTGTTTATCGTCAAAAGATTTTCCTTTTAACATAGGGCCTGGTTGCATCAATTTGCACCATTTCAATTTTCAGTAAGACTTAGCGTTTTGTGACGTAACTATCGCAAAAGTTCTTTGATGTAAAAAGATAAGCCTGTAATACTGGTGGTATTAGCAATAATAACCCATGGCTTGTACCTTTTAAAATATAAGGTTTGCCAAACTGAAAATTTCATGTCAATTATAGGTAGCTCTGGTACATCACCAAATAGTATAACAACAATGGCTATAGGTAAATAAAACATTGCTGCCCAATTTGGTAATATACTTATATTTCTTATGCTTAGTCATAATTAGAAATATCTACTTTTATGTGATACATGAAAAATATATTTCTGATAGAAATAATTCTTATGTTTCCAATATGTAGAATATTTTGCCTCTGAATGATCTGCAGAATTACCTATACAATGACTCGAAATAACATTTTTGATAATATTTCCGTTAAAGGGGTGTTTTCTTTTGACTTCGGTTTTATATCTCCGCATACATCGCATATCTCGGGGAGCAAAAAAAAAAATAGTTCTCATTTTTTTTCTTTCAATAGACTTCATCTATGGGTGATAATTAACAATAACAAGTTTGTCAAAATCCGTTGAAAGTTGCGCCTTCTAGAGTGTTTACAAGCTCAAAAATAGAACAAGAACAAGCGCAATAACTCATACTATCAGATTTTCGAGTAATTACAAATACTCAAACGAAGTTTCGTCAAAACCCTTCAAGAATTGTCCCTTCTAGAGTGTTTACAAGCTAAAATTAGAACGCGTTTTCAAGAACAAGGACAATAATAATGATTTTGCTGATAGGGTTCATCATTGGGTGATTACAAACACTCGCACCAGGTTTCGTCAAAATCCGTTGAAAATTGTGCCTTCTAGAGTGTTTACAAGCTAAAAATTGAAGGCATGTTCAAGAGCAAGGGCAATAACTCATAAATATTTTTCAATTTTTCTGCTTTCAATTAGCGTTCATCTTTGAGTGAATACAAACATCAATCCCAAGTTTTTTCAAATTCCGTCAAGAATTGTGCTTTCTAAATCGTTTACGAGCAATTGTGGACGCACAAATAGACGCTTGTCGCCAACCTGAACGGCCAGACTGATAAAAAAGATAATGCCATCTTATTTATCTTCCCGATTTCCCTCAGATCACAGATCTCTCTATATTTATGCAGATTTTTCAAGGCGAAATTTCCCATTTCCGTCTACATTAGCCAAAACTAGATCAGTAAAGTAGGACCGCCTACTAAGACGTAAAACTCCATTTCAATTCACTTTATTTAATTTGTAGGTACAACTGATACAATATTGACTACGTCTGTAACACCAGGTAAATATACAGATTGTTCTATTATCATCTACACCGACCGTTTCTTCCACAGACTTTCATGTACAGATTAAACTAATCATTAATCGTGTTCACAACTCTGCGCCTAAATTTTCAAATTCATGTGAGTCCAAAAATAGAAAGAAGAGAAATTCCCAGTTTCTAGTACTTATGAATGTTATATATTATTGCAGAAAAGATAAGACATAAGTATAGGTGTTAGGTAAAATTTATTGGCATTGATATGGCACAGCTGATAAGAATACATCTATAAAAATACAATTTTTTATTTTTGCTGCCGACATGAAAAATGGCAAGCCAACCAGTTACCAATATAATATACATATAATGATATACACCAAATTATTGATTGATTCTCCCAAATGTACAGGCCTAGGGTGGAGCAGACATTTTATTTAGAAATTATGATGGAGGGTCTTATACTGGGTTTTCTTCTGTTATGATTTGATCTGAAATTAGAAAAAAGAACTCGCCCGATGGGCGAGAAGTATAGTATCTATTATATACTGATTGTTTTTAGTTTACTATGAACAATATTATCATTTAAGTTCTTATTTTTTGAATATGCAACTATCATTTTCTGCTTATAGACATGGGGAAAATTATCTTGAAGGCTCTTATAGTCGGCATGAACTATCTTGCTTGCTCGATTGCTGGTTGTATTGAACGGGTCAACAAAAGGTGCTTTGCCTACATTATGACGAATATTTAGTCCTATAGGTCTTGCTGTATTCAATGTCTCAATCCAATGAGCTTCCCTAGATTGACGGAATTTGGTAGTTTCATCTTCGGGCAAGTCAATTTCTATGCGCTCAATTGGAATTAGGAATTTAAGGTTGTAATATTGCGGTTAAAAAATGTTACGAAAGCACAGGCACAGGCATGTAGGCGTAACCTCTAGTGATAGAGTGTTTGTGAAGTTAGTTTAAAAGAATGATATAGAATATTTGAAATGCAAATCCATTATCTTCCGAATCTGAAATATATAAGAAGAATACTGGTTCCAACAGGAACATTAATAACCATGGAAATCATGATAAATATTTTTACTGGTGAAACTGAGGAATCGTCCTATATTAAATGAAAAGGAAAATGCGTATTTCATATAAATAATATATATAATTTATTAAGTGAAAATAGTATACATGTATGATATTTTTGCGAGGAAACTCTTCAATTGCAAGTTATCATAAATAAGAATTATTAATTAAAGGAAATGTACTAAACCTATGGAAGGGGGATGGGGGGTAATCTACCACGGACTAAGATATCATTTAGATTTTTATTACGGGTATAGGCGATAACTAAATCATTTGTAAAGACTGTTGGAAATTTTTCCTTCAATTCTTTGTAAAGACGGATAATTATTCGGGGAACTTGACCAGCTGTGTTGTTGTATTGAATAACCAAAGGTATAATTTGGAAATCAACTTGGATGTTCATTCCTAAAGGATGCATGGTTTGTAATTTGTTTATCCAATAATTTTCGCGAATGAGTCGAATTTTCTTTGTATCAATGCCAGGTTGTTCGTATATCTGTTCAATGGGAATGATTTTCAGGTCTGTTAATTGGTGATCGGGTTGATTGAAGTGTTTTGAAACGGTTTTATTAATTTTTTTAAAGTTGATGTCAGACTTATGATGGTTGAAACGGACCCTTAACGAATGTTTTGTCACCCCAACGTATTGTTCGTCACATTTTGTGCAAGAAATGAGATAAATAATATTTTTGCTGTTGCAGTTGAGTTTTTCATTTACTTGAAATATGGAATCTGTGCGTCTATTTCGGAAAGAATTTGTTGGTAAAATGAAGGGACAGGTTTGACAGCGAGGGTTGTTACAAGGATAAACTGAAGAATTTGGTATTGGCAAAAGAATCGAATTATTTTTAGCAGAGATTTCAGCAACTGTTGAGCTTTTAATACCTCTCAAGAACCTTCTAGAATATCCACGTTCGCGCAATTTTTGGAAAACAATTGAACAAGCCTCCTCGAAGTCCTTCTTGCGCGTACAAATTCGGTGAAATCTCAAGATCTGCGACTTTATAATGCCAGAAAAGGTATGTTTAGGATGAAAAGATGATTTTAATAAAAGTTGGTGAGTATCAGTGGGCTTAAAAAAAACTTTAATATCTAATTGATTGGTTTCATGAAAATTGGTATCTTTAAAAACTGTGGTGTCTAGAAAATCAATCTGTTTGTCTCTAATATTAGAAGTTAATTTTACAGAAGGGTGGTGGCTATTGAGAGTATCAAAATATTCCCAAAATTCATCTATTGTATGAGTCCAAATTAAGAAAATATCATCAAGAAATCTTACATAAAAAATTGGTAGTTTGGGACAGAGGAGTGAAACTTGGGTAAGGGTTGAAATGATTAGAAACAGGCTTGTCTTTCTTTAATTTAATATCCGACCTATGAGCATTAAAACGAGTTCGTAAATTATTCTTAGTTTCTTCTATATATTGTTTCGGGCATTTCTTGCATGAAATTAAATGTATTACATTCGAATGTTCATATGTTAGATGTTTCCTGGATCGGGTACCTTTTTAGTTGCTTTCAAAATAATGTGTTTCTGATATAAAGGGACATGTTTTGCATCTACTGTACAAACATGGAGCACTTCTTAAACCTGGAGGTACTTCGGCATAAAGCCTGTTTTTAGCTGCTATCTGTGCTAAGGTGGAATTTTTTATGTTTCGTAAAAATCATTTAGAGTACCCACGCTCTTTCAGTTTTGAGAAAACAATCGTGCAGGCTTAGTTGAAATCAGAAGATCTTGTAAAACTTGTGACTTAATTATGCCAGAAAAGGTATGTTTTGGGTGAAAGGAGCTCTTGTGCAAGAGTTGATGAGTATCAGTTTCTTTGAAATACACTTTAATATCCAGTTTATTTGTTTCTGCTATGGAATCTTCCTTAAAGACAGTGGTATCGAGAAAGTCTATGCTTTTGTCACTCACGTTTGCGGTTAGTTTGAAGGAAGGATGGTGGTTGTTGAGAATTTCAAAGAATTCCCAAAACTGTTAGATAGAATAAGTCTAAACCATAAAAATGTCCTTAAAAAAGTGGGTCAAATGGACACAGGGGCAACACTTCACGTTCCCACTCTGCCATGAAAAGGTTTGCGTACGAAGGGGCGAATCGTTTGCCCATAGCTGCCCTTGAAGTTTGTAAATAAGTTTTACCATTAAATGTGAAATCGTTTCGACAAAGACAGATCTCTAAACGCTGTAGAATTGCATCATCGGGTCTGTTTGGTTCTGGGTTTCTATTAAAAGCTTTACGAACTGCCAGTAGTGTTATCGATATTGGTATACAGTGGAGCCTCGTTTATCCGCACATAGAAGAAACGTCGATAGAAATTAAAATAGCATTAGAGGGAACTCGAAGATTTTTTATTTTATTGACAAAATCGGTTATGTCTTTAAGGTAGGCGCGATGTTGACATGCTAGAGGTAGTAAGAAATGATCAATGTATTCTGACACTGCATACTGCCCATATAATCGGGCGGCCTTTAGTCGAGATAAACCACTCCTTGGTTGGATTCTTATGGATTTTAGGCAAAGTGTACAGATGTCTCTCGCGACAATCAGGTTTGGCAGACAGATAGTCATATTGTTTCTGTTTGAGATAACTAGTTTCGACTAAATCGGCAAGAATATTGTAATCATATTAGCAGTTTCTTTGAAAATTGGTTTCGGTAAAATGGTATAATGAATGACACAACATGAACCTTTGTCACTCTTTTTAATAACAATGCTATCGTCTTTCTTGAGTAAGTTAAACGCTTCACGTTCCACTCTTGTGAGATTAGGCTTTTCGTGTGTTATGGAAACGTTCGCTGTTTGGCTATTCATACCAGCAAATGCTTTCAATATTTCAGGATGGATGGCGGACTGAGGGGGTGTCCACGAGGATTTAGGAATAAACATTGTTCTAGCACCACGTGGGGTGATTTCGAAAAAAATATGTGCAGCTAAGATTTCGTTGAAATCGTTCAATGGATGGTCGGAGATAATTTAAGTTGACTATCTTTGGTGTGGGAATAAACTTAAGTCTACGGTCTAAGATTGATTGCTGAAGGGGTGTGAGAATTTTGCGGCTCAAGTTAACTACAGTTTGGCCTAGCGGTGGCCTCTCAGTATTTTTGTCCCCAGTAATTAGTTTAAAGACTTGACGCTGGTGTATCCAAAACAAATAAATACTGATTGCTGTTTCTGGAGACCAATGAAGATTATCAACTGGTTCGAATTCTTCTTCGAAGGGTGGTAAGATTGTTGTGCTGTTGATATTGGTCTCCATCATCATGTTGTTGAGGGTGCTGAGGTTCTGTTGTGCTTCCTTCGAGATTTTATATGAGATGGGTATACATGTGAAGAGTATCTTGGAGTTTGAAAGGTTTTGTTGGCTGTAGCGATTAATTTCTGGGCTTGGTTAAAGGAGGTCGTTGGTAGCTGATCACGGTTGTTGAGGCCTACATGAAGAATGACGGTAGTAGGTTTGGGATCATGGTCGTATGATTCCAGAATTGACTGTATGTGATGGATTTGGGCACCGGGGTAAGAATTCTGTAGCATTGGGCACGGACTGGGATCTGGTTCGAGGGGGGAAGGTCTGGATACACGTCTCGACTTGGATGGAGACTGAGGGGTTTTCTGGTCCTAAAACGCACAGAAGGAAAAAAGGTTGGCGGATCCTGGATCACGCGGTGAAGATTCAGATGGCGTGGAAGGGGAAGACGAGTCTGAAAGAGAAAAGAGAAGGAGAGTGCCCTCTCTACGAGAGCGTTTACCTATGTCTGCTGGACTAGGAGTCGGTGAACTTCGGGCTCGTTTAGGGGTTTGGTTCGGTAGCGTGGTGACTCTAGATGGTGCAGGTGTAGTGTCCATTTCAGTTGGTAGAGATATGGTTTCTCTGTTTTTGTTTTCGTTGATTGTCTGGTAGAATTTGGTGATTTCAGCTTGAGTGAGACGTTTCCCATATATTTTTTAAAACCATCCAAATACTTAAAACCATAAAACATCCATATATGTTTTAAAACCATAAACTCATCCAAATATTTAAAACCATGAACATATACATATCATATATGCTTGACCCTGAGGGTACAGGGGTCAACAAGCACTGGATTTGGGCCTGAGCACCAACAGCACTCTAAGCTGCCCCCTATATATAACCTTGTAGAGTCTAGGCTCTAAAGGGGAAGCTAACTGACTGGGACTGTGCATGTAGTCTGGATAATCTGGTCTACTTAAAGTGGAGGTGTTATGTTTTAATGAATTGCTTAAAGAGACTATGATATATAAAATTGAATTTAATTAATAATATAAGTTTGAAGTTAAGAAATAATAGGTATCTCTCAGCAATAAATTCATCTATTGAATAGACAATAGATGTGATTATATTCAAGACCCACTTTCATATTCTGTATTCTTTCAGGCAAGGAACTATAAGCCTACATTATGTGTATATTAAACATTGAAACTAAAGCTATATTAAAATCCATCCATTTTTTTTAATCGAAGATGCTCTATGAGTGGCTTGCGACTATGACCCCACCACAGAGTAGCCAAAATTTGAATTCAGGTGCCCCCCCCCCCCCCCCCACCCCCATTGAGTCAGTCTGCCCCCTATTTGTACACCTAGTCACGTAAGGCTGGCGCCGCCACTGTCAAAGGAGCTTTAATAGCTTCGAGTTAAAAAATTGTATTCACGCTTATAATTTGGTACATTTATTTAGAACAATAAAGACCGTTTAGCTTCCCGCATTCGAACAAAAATATAACAATTATGTTATTATTTTAGATTGTGGTGGAGTAATAAACACTGAAAGTGGTACAATTCAATCACCAAATTTTCCAAATCTTTATCCACAGAACGCTGTTTGTGACTGGACTGTGGAAGCTCCTGAAGATAAAATTATTATCTTCACATTTAATTATTTTGACGTAAGTTTTTATCCAATACATTATATATTATTTTCCAGTGTCCACGTTTTCTAGTGTACAATGTCAACGAACTCGATTGATGTTGTTCTTTCTTTCTATCTGGATGGATATAGATCCATATGGACAGATGCACGAGTGAAATTCTATAAGCCTATGTCTTATTAGAATATACCACGGATCTTCCGTCTGATTTGCATTTAATTTTTAATGTTTTGATACTGGTTAATATTTTGATTGCAGCTTGAGGATTATAATTGCGAGTTTGATTTTGTTGTTATTTATGATGGTGACAAAGAAATAGCTGTACATTGTGGTTCGTCTATTCCTGATCCGGTTACAAGTACCACGAATAAACTTCGAATAACGTTTATATCTGATGACCAATATGAATATGAAGGCTTTAATGCAACTTATAGTATGAAAGGTAAACAAGATCTAATCAAGTTATGATGCATGGTATATCCTATATTCTATTAACGGATACATTTTGATCAAATGGGTGTGTAAAAGATAGCAATTTCCATTTTCTAATCAAAATGTTTATTTCTTCATATTTCTCATTATTTAATGAAGGTAACTTTCCTGAATGACTTTATGTATTGTCATAACAACTTCAGAGAATCCTGATGGTGATGGTAATGGTAAAGATGACGGTGTTGGTAATAGTGATGATATTGGTAATGTTGATGGTGTTGGTAATAGTGATGATATTGGTAATGATGGTGGTGTTGGTAATAGTGATGATATTGGTAATGATGGTGGTGTTGGTAATAGTAATGATATTGGTAATGATGGAGGTGTTGATAAAGATCATGGTAGAGGTGGAAGCGAAAATGATGGTGATCAAGATGATGATGACACAGTTAATGGTGTGGTGACTCTAGTGTTAATTATTTTTGGCACGTTATTTGGAGTTGTGATTTTGGTTGTCGGAGGTATATATTTCCTATTGAAGGTTCAGGCAAACGTAAGTAGAATAAGTCAGTTTACTCATATAAACATAACTAATAGGCCTATTCACAATTAGAAGATAACTTGACAGGCAAAGTAACTGGTAGCTTTGATTTTAAACCACTCACACCAAGTTTCGTCAAAATCATACTAAATACAATAACTCATACTAAATATTTTTCGATTTTTATCTTTTTCGAAAGGGTTCATCCTTTGGTAATTACGAACGCTCACAAGTTTCGTAAAAATCTGTCAAGAATTGTGCCTTCTAGAGTGATTACGTGCTAACAAATGAACGCATTTTCAAGAACAAGGGCAATAACTCATACTAATTATTTTCTAATAAAAATGTATTCTAATTTTCAATAGGCTTCATCCTTGGGTGATAAGAAACAACCATACCAAGTTTTCGTCGAAATCAGTCAAGAAGTATGCCTTGTAGTGTGTTTACGAGCAATTATAATCCTTTTGGAAATGTGGACGTATATTGCCGTCGCCCCTGTCCGTCCGTCCATTGATCCGTCAACATTTCTTGAGAACACAATAGAGACTACAGTTTTCAACTGATTTTAATGACATTTGGTGTGATCATTTATATTGATGAGATCTTGGTCAAGTTCGAATTTGACGATCTTTCGATTTTTCAGTTGTTGCCCTTGACTTAAGAAAAACGCGTCAAAATTTGTTTGGAACACAATAGAGACTACAGTTTTCAACTGATTTTAATAAAATTTGATGTAATCATTCATATTGATGAGATCTTGGACAAGTTTCAATTTGATGATCTTTCGATGAACAGCTTTTGAGTTATTGTCCTTGACATAGGAAACAGGCGTCAAAATTTGTAGTCTCTATTGTTTTAACAAACAGTTTTCAACTGATTTTAATGAAATTTGGTGGGATCATTTATATTGATGAGATCTTGGTCAAGTTAGAATTTGATGATATTTCGATGAACGGCCTTTGAGTTATTGCCCTTGACTAAGGAAAAACGCGTCAAAATTAGTTTTCAATTGATTTTAATGAAACATGGAGTGATCTTGTATATTGATCAGATAATTTGATGTATTTTGGTTATTGGAATTTCTCAGCATAAATAACTGGCAGTAAATATATATATCATTGAATTCAAACTATTAAAATTTCTAAAATATGAACAAATTCATACTTCAGTCACTAAAGAAAGTTTTATGATTTCTGACAGCTGCCAGTGGGCGTATGTTACCTTGCCTGGCAAGCTATATTCTATCTTGTAGAAAGTGACTAAACTGAAAAAGCAACGGGGCAAGAAACAGAAACTGAACAACCCACAGGTTAAAGACCTACCACATTTTCCCACATTCAAAAAGCTACCAGACGTCACAAGAGGGTATCACCCACCACCTTCTATCACTTCAGCTTTTAAATCAAAACCTGAAACGGCAATAAAGGTTCAGGACATGGATCATTCCAGTGATGAAAGATATGAATATCATACTGATGTTTAACTTCAGTTTATACAGGAGATAAGAAAACACCTCAAAATACAATATTTGGATATTATATATATATATATCGGGTGCTCCAAAAAAACGTCATAAAGTTCGACGGGTAGTATTTCAGCTGTTGGTAAACTGATCTCTTTCAAAATTCTCACCGATTTCCTTGTCGAGCCCTGAAAATATATAAGTCATCGTACAAGTAGTGCCCCGAACAAAATAGCATGTCAAAAAATGCAATATCAAGGCAATTTCCCTATTTCAACCTGTGTTCAATGTGCCCTCTCTGACCACCAATGGCAAGATCCATCCCGTTACAGATCTCATGTAGAGGTATCTGCTCCAAAGAACCGACAATCCAGCGCTTCAGTTCCTGTTCAGTCAGTTTGTCCCGCTAACCCCGGTATCCAAAATGGCATAATTCATTGGATAACAGTCTGGGGATTGGGACAGCTAGTCATTCTTGTGAAAAAATGTGTAGCCTCCTCCAAATATGTTTGGGATACCTTGCTAGTATGCGATGGGGCCTTGTTTTGTTAGCATCTTGGGATGGAAAAAATGAAATGAATGGAGTTTTACGTCCTACTTTTCTGCACCATGTGGGCTAATGAAGACGGGCAACGCCATGCAGGGTGCGATGAGGGAAATTTTGCGAGGACAGCGGCATTAGCCTGCTCTTTTTCGATTTTTAACGTGCACAGGGGGCCTCGGTTTATTGTCCAATCAGAACGACTAGACGCTTTTTCCATGTCAGCCCCTCTTACCTGCATCACTGACAGGGGGAAACCGGGTTGAAAAATCCGAAGGTATTATCTCGACCTATGCCGGGATTGAACCCTGGACCTTCAGGTTAGCGAGCAAGCGTCTTGGGATGGAAAAAACAGTTGCGATTGGTGAAGATGGAGAGCATACTGAAAACAGGTTGAAATAGATATTGCATTTTTTGACATGCTCTGGGCAGTACTTGTACATTTTTTATTCGATGGCTGTCATATTTTCAAGGTTGGGCAAAGAAATCTTCAAGTATATATGAGACTTTTTGAAATAGATCAGTTTACCAACAGCTAAGAACTTTGGGACGTTTTTGGGGAGATGCCCGATATGCCTATGTCAATAGCAAACACATAGATAATGAACCTGTTGACACTACTTGTCTTCTCCATTGTACATTGCTATATGTAGTCAGTTTTTATCTGTTGTCGGATTTTTATTCCATGATACCGGTGCTCTACCCGAAAAGACATTGATAAAGACCTCTCACCTTTCCCTCCCGCAACCGTGATGAGTTTTATTTCATGCAGCCACAGATTAAAAAACAACCGAAAGCAAGACTCAAATTGTAGATTTAGTTAGTTATTACTGCTAAAAATTTAGAATCCTTATCAGATGATCGAAATGCGGTTCACAGGTTCACAAAAACATAACAATTCAAATCAACAAGTTAACCCTTCATTTGACCTTTTTTATTTTGATCCACGTTTATCACTAAAGAACAGTTAAACTGAATAAAAAAAAAGTCAAATTCATTATTTTGAATATTTCATCGTAGAAAATTAAAACAAATTAACAATGCAGCATTGGACACATTTAGTTGTTGAGAAAGAAAAGTTACTATTTAGATATTAATACATCGTTTAAGAACCCATGTCAATGGAATTATAACGAATTTTGGTAAAGTATGTGAGACTGGAATGTTCACATTCAACCAAAAACCGTGCAGAATAAGACTGGTGTTATAATTTCTTCAAGTGGTAATTTTCTTTCCTTGCATTTCGCCTTTTATAACATCTGCAATAATCTTACAGCCCTGAAAAACATTATCATTTTATTATATTACAAAAAATTTGTATTCTCGCTTGCAGTGTACATTAATCATTAATGTATTTGGAATAATTCCATCAAAATTATAGAGCAGTAGTTTGTAAGTTTTTTAATGACAAACTATTAACAAACAAGCAATGGAAGATATTTTCATTGGCGCTTTGAAACACCGATCTATCCATGAAGCACTTCGTTTATACCAAAAAAAAAATCTTCAAGGTAAAAATATTACGAATACAACCAATCAGAGTCCTCTACAGCACTGGTTCCCAACCTATTTCAGCCTCTACACCCCTGGAGCAATCACGTGGACCTTTCACAACCCCAAAAATTTGTTTCATCCACATTCGCAGCATGTAATGATGTGAACTGCTCTCTCAACTCAAAATAAATTCTTCTCCTATATACACCAGCTGGCCACACCCCCTGACACCCTAGTCCTACACCCCCATGGGGTGAAAACAACACCAGGTTGGGAACCAGGCCACGTATTCTCGAAATGACCTTAGTGCTAGGATGTCCTAGAATCAATGTTAGAAGATAAGAATCTGGGACGTCCTAGCGCTAAGATCATTTCGAAAATACGTGGCCAGGGCTCTAGAGAAAGCCTGTTAATAATATGATGTGCGTGTGACTACCAGTTTACGTCTGCATTGTGAATTTCTTTTTTGATTAACAACAGAAAAAAAGGACTAATGATGTCAAGGTATTAGACGATAATACGTTTAGGATTGGAGGTTTCAAATCGACAATACATGGGTTTTGGCGTCAACATTTTTTCCTTACCCTATCCATTTGTTCTTCTGTAGCCTTGGAATATGCCATTCTGATGAACGGAGAAATAAGACTACCACCATGTGGTATATTTGATGCTCCATTAACCAGTAATACACCTTTCTCTAGACACTTTGTTACCACTGGCAATGAATCGTTAAGATATTTTAACTTTACCCATAAAAACATCCCTGCTTCGGGCTTGTTCCATTCTGCGACATCTGTTATGAAATAGGATATAATCAGATAGTTCCTTTCCTTTAATTTTTTTATGAGTTAAAGATTCAAAGCAATGCGCATCGGCGTAGCCTATGTCAATCACATAACTTAAACGCATCATCCCAAACAATCCACAAAAAAGGAAGTATTGCAAATATTTTAGATGTAATTTTTACACATCGGCAGGGAAGTGTTGATTATTGAGCAATAACCTGAGATGTTAATATTATTTCAAAGCTAAAAAAGCGAGATGGTCTGCAATGTTAATTATTATTCCTCAATATACATTCGGTAATTTGAATAGAAAACTATTTTACAAACCTGACATATATTTTTGTAGGAAAGATGTTAAGGATTCAGCCTTTTGTTTGTATGTTTGCGTTACATGAACACATTGTTTTAAAAATCTATCATGACCCCAATGACGTAGAAGAGACATAATTATCACCTTAAATCGAAAAAAAATATAGCACAAAGGATTAAGCCATTCAAAATACGCTTACACAAAGTTTTATTTAATAACTTAAATAGTAAAAGTATAATCAAAAATATATCATTATTATAATGGTGAATATAATAGTATATTAAATATTGCTGATCTTGTGAATCTAATAGCACAAAGGTTCACTGAATAAGTGATTCTGAACATTGAATTAATCGTAATTTAATTTCATATCACAGAACATTGGTATTTTAGAAAAATAATTTAGTCCTTAAGAGGCAGTGTGGTTTTTTAGTTGCTCTGTTTTTTACGTGCACAAATTAAGTAAAACTATTGACTATAATCTAGAATTATCTGAAAGTTTTAACTTAAAAAAAAACATTCCGTTAATTTTTAGGACGCCAAAAATATCTAGAGGTTTACGTAAACCTTTTAAAGTCGCTATGTTTTTGGTTGGTGTTGAAAACACAAAAGACTGGAGCAAAATTAATATAAAAAAAAAAATAAAAAAACATTTTTGCATACTGCACCTTTAATATTAGTCTTCAGAAGATTACATATTAATAACTTAAAGTAAAACTATTACATATTAAGTCATAAATTCTTCTGTTTGGTGACATCGGTTTCAATTAATCAATCCTATAGAGCATACTTTTTACTATGATTAAATGTTTTTACCTGATTATAAGGGGAAACAGCTCGAGATGTCTGATAAAATAAAGTCAATTTACTGATATAGCAGGCTGGTGCTGTGATAAAACCCAATCTGAAACTTACATTACAAAAAAACTATTTAAGTAAGTATGGTTGAGATATTTACCAATAGTTACCAGAATGTGGTAAAGATAGCTTGCCAGGCAAGGTAATATACACCCACTGGCAGCTTTGATTTTAAAAATATTTAGCAGTACAGTAACAATCACCAGTTTGAAATATTCAACCTTCAGTCATACACTTCTTTTGAACTCTTTAGTGCGATACTGAATAATATTGAAGTATGAGTTATTGCCCTTGTTCTTGACAACGTGTTCAATTTTTAGCTCGTGAAAACTCTAGAAGACAAATATTCAATCTTCAGTGCGGGACTGAATAATAAAACCAAGTTTTGTTCAAATCCAGCAATAATCATGCCTTTAAGTGTTTAAGAGCTAAATTTGAAAGCGTTTTCAAGAACAAGGGCAATAACTCATACTTAATATTTTTAAAATCTTCTGATTTTCAATAGGCTTCATCCTTAAGTGATTACCAACATCCACACCAAGTTTCATCAAATCCGTCAACCATTGTGCCTTTTAGAGTGATTACGAGCTAAAAATTGAACGCGTTTTCAAGAGCAAGGGCAATAACACATACTAAATATTTTTCGATATTTCTGATTTTCAATAGGGTTTAACCTTGGTTGATAACAAACTCTCATGCCAAGTTTCGTCAAAATCCATCAAGAATTGTGCCTTCTAGAGTGTTTACGAGCTAGAAATTGAACGCGTTTTCAAGAACAAGGGCAATAACTCATACTAAATATTTTTCGATTCTTCTGATTTTCAATAGGGTTCATCTTTGGGTGATTACGAACACTCATGCCAAGTTTCCTTAAAATCCATCAAGAATTGTCCCTTCTAGAGTGTTTACGAATTATAAAAATCGCCACCTATCTATAACCTCTTATACTACTCTTTTTCTTGCATCGCCCGCAACCCCACCAGGCACGCGGTTAATAAACCCGGAGTCTATAGGGGTACCTGTTTACCAACTCCCAAGCGCCCTACGCCTATAATATCTTCAAATTAACTCATTTAAAAACAGAATGAGTTTAATTTTAAAACACAAATTCGAAAGCTCTATCATCTCTCATCCCAAAAGTAGCCAACTTTGTCTCAAACAACAAATCCCTCATTTCCTCAGGGGTGCAAGCTCTTGGATCTGTAGCAAAAGCAGGAGTAAATATTAGCGATGCAGTGAAAAGATCTAACGAGTTGAAAGAATTACAACATATAAGAGAAATGCGAAATAAAAGATTAGAAAACAAAAAAAGCAATGGTTTTAAAATTATTGGATAAAAATGTCAATGATAATTGCCCAAACTCCTAAAACTTATTTCGGACATTCAAAAATCATTAGGTTCTCTTCCTGGATTTCCTTGGGCAAAATACCCTGGAGAAAAACATCTTCCCGGTCATAATTATACTGGTCCAGGTACAAGGTTAGATCTGCGATTAGACGAAAACCAGGTGAAGAACCAGTCAATAGAGTTGATGCTGCTGCACTTAAACACGATATATTATACAGAAATAAAGACATAACATCCAGAGACGAAGCAGACAAACAAATGATAATCGAACTTGAAAATATTCCAAATCCAACTTTTAAAGAGAGAATGCAAAGAGCATTAATCATTAAACTCTTGAAAGCAAAGATGAAAATGGGTATGGGAATAGCAGATGAAATACACAAAGAATTTAGAAAAAACAAACATTTTTTAACTGATTAATGGGAGGTAACACTGTTTTTTATTTACTTCAGAGTAAAATAACAACTAGTTTATACACAGTTATTGATTTATAATAGACAATCACTCGTCTATCGTTGACTGGATATACGTCACTAAGTAACAGATGGTTATATTAACATATAACATTCCGCCCATGCCACATCGGCATAGACAGACTAAACTCTCAACTATTAACACTGTCTAAATTTTGTTACGCTGGAAGAATAGGAATTTAATGCAAAATCAAGATATGTTCTTTGTTTGATTTAATCATAAGACGAGAGGGTGGAATTAAGATTATTTGTTGTTTTCAAAATATCAATTTTGTTTTATTCCAGACACAAGTTTAATAGATGCCAACATTTCATATCACGAAGAATATTTAAACCATCACAGGCAGTGGGTGATACTACCAAACTCTGTGACAAATATGGTCTAGGTCTCAACTAAATGATGGGGGTAGGGTCACTTTCGAGATTAATTCATTATCGAATTGGTTACTTCTGTCTGACGCCTATTTCAAATGCGATTTCAAAATCAAAGACGGAACTCCCAATGAGAATCGTGAACCACAAACCAACACAACGTTAGAAAACAATTTCTTCCCATCTTTACTTACTGAAATGGTTTTGGAAGCTGGTTCAAATCCCATAGAAACCATTAAACACTCTGGACAATTTGACACAATGTTGAAAACAGTTCTATATTCCAAAAACTACGATTCAGTCTCAGGCTGGATACCCGATGTTGGTGATGGAAGAGTTTTAAAAGAACCGGTAAGAAATGTTCCAAATGATGCAAATGAAGATAGAATGAGAGCTATTGCTCGAAACAAAATAGAAAGAGTAGGACGAGCAGGTAATCATGGATTTGAAAAACGAGTACTTCAGTACAATAATGTTGTTGCGAATAATAGGTTTGGTAATTGCGTAAACTGGAAATTATATCCTTTATTCGGTCCGTTGGAACACAGAAAAGTTTCCATAGGGTTATCATATAAAATTTATCTACAAAGAGAAATCAATGATGATAAGATATTCTTGGGAGAGAATGCTTCAGGTGCAAAATTAGAAATAACGAATCTCCAACTTTACATACCCGTAATAACACCACCAATTGAAGTAGAAACGAGAATATTCAACTCATTAACTAAAGATATAGAAATAGCATTTCTTCGTCGCAACACAATAGGTAGCATGACTTTCACTGGAGAATCCACTACATGGCCAATCACTAACACTATTAAACCAGCAAGATATTTAATGGTTGGTTTCAAGAACTTACCAGATTCTCAAACGAATAACAATAATATCTTTAGAGTAGAAATGAACCAAACTCAAGATCCTATAATCCGTAAAGTTGAAGTAAGATTGAACAATGATATGATAATTATCCTAACCAACCTTTAACAATTAATCCAACCACAAAGGATTATAATGAATTGTATAGAAATTATAAAAATATGTGTGAATTATTTGGAAATTCACCTCAGTTTGAATATGTAGATTTTGCAATTAATCACCCAATCTTCTGTTTTGATCTGTCAGCTCACCAAGAAGATCTTTTCAAAACAGGAGTAAATATAAATATTTACATTGAAAAAACACAAGGAAATGTAATAGGTTATTGTTTACTATTGGAAGAAGCAAAACATTTAATTAAAATATCCGACAGACGGATGATTCGTATAGAATAATCATATAAATTACCCTCTTAAAAAAGAAACCGGAAACTTTAGTGAAAAGAATAATAGAAGCTATCGAAACGGAATCACCAACTACAATAACTTACAATGGTAAAAGGATTAAAATATCTAAAAAAAATTATTGATAAATATAAACATTGTAAAGTCCGTGATGATATATATTTGGAAAGAATTGACAAGAGTGTAAAGGAAGGTGGATTTTTACCTTTCCTACCTTTGATATTTGCTGGTCTGGCTGCGGCAGAAGCGACAGTCTAGGCGTAGTATTTAATTACAACGGTTTATTCAACAAACAGATAAACAAACAGGTTGTTCAGGCAAAGAGAGCACTTTATGCTTTAAATGTCAAATCCCAAAAACTAATCTTACATATCGACACGCGATTAGAACTCTTCGAAGAAAATAATTACACCAATTTTAACTTATGGAAGTGAAATCTGGGGGTTCTGTGATTCAAACCAAATTGAAAAAGTTTATAGAAGTTTCCTTAGGAATTTATTGTCAATAATCACTAGAACTGCTAACTGTATGCTATATGGTGAAACTGGAACTTATCCAATCCAGATTACAATTGATGTCAATATGGTCATGTTTTGTGTCAGATTAACTCAAGGAATGTCAAGTAAAATATCATATACTATTTTAGCTCTTATTATGCATTTGTATAATAATGAAATTTTTAAATCTAAGTGGCTCTGTAAAATCAAATCAATATTGGATAATTGTGGCTTATCCTTTGTCTGGTATAACCATAACAACGTCAACCCTAAGTGGATAAAAATTGAGCTTAAACGTCGTTTATGTGATATTTACAAAACTGGGCTATTGAAGTCTTTATAGTTTATGTTTGAATTACAGATTGATGAAATCTTATCACAATTTTGAATCTTATTTAACTAAACTTTCCTTTAAAGAGCGATCTATTATGTGTAGATTTAGGTGTGGGTCAAATTGCCTTCCATACACAAGGAATAGATTCACACAGGATTCAAATATGATCTGTACATTATGTGGTAGTGGTTGCCCCGATGAGTATCATTATGTACTGATTTGTCAGACTTTGAATAATGAACGTAAATTGTACATCAAACCCTATTATTATACTAAACCAAATACTGATAAATTTAACCAATTATTCTCCTGTATTAGCAGGAGACAACTTTCAAACTTGGCAAAATTCATACAATTGATAATTAGTAATTTATGATCATTTTCCTTTGTTAATGTTATTATTAATGATTGTAATTGTTAATATGTACTGTCGCCATCTAATTGATAATTTTTAAACATGTTTGTATTTCTCATTTACCTCTTAAAGGGGTCGTATAAGAGAATAAACTATCTATCTATCTATCTACTAAATCCTTGTAATCGGCAATATCAATACCGCCATTCATTAAATCTATTAATCCTTCTGTTAATGTAAATATAAAGTCTTTTGTATCGATTTTGAATATTGGTGAATTTCCACTAAATCTTATTCTAAATCCATTAAACAATAACCCTTCATTATCAACAATTGGTGTAATGCTCTTTGGCAAATCTGGGTTTGGATTTGAAAAATAACGTTTTCAATCGG